GCATACTCTTGCTATGCTTAATATGTGGAAACTGCTGAGAATAAATCAGATTATGAGGCAGATAACTCGAAATATACTTGAAATTTCAAGTATACTTTATACTTGAAATGCTAACTGCTCTAACTGACAGAGGAATAGTAACATATCTTTACATATGCCAGTGGCTAAAAGAGAAGTCATTCAACCTTTGAACACTTGCAGAGATGTTTTCAAAATATACTTCTCGGACATGACTAAAGTTGGAAAAGATTTTTCAAAATCTCTATTTATGGGATAAAAATGCATATGTTTATTGTAAGTTAGAATACKGTCTTCCATTTTACCTATTCATAGTAAATGCAGCATTTTCTRTTAAACTCAGTCCAGGCAGGATGTTTAAATACAGAAGCAAAAAACAAAGTAAAAGTTGTTCCTCCTCCGAAATATCTTTTTCAATACCTGTATGTTCTTGAATTTTGTTTTCTTTCCTCAGTAGAATAGTCCTGATAGGTCATTTTCTTCCCCTTTTCCCTCCTTGCTTGCTTTGTCTTTGCAAAGCATAACAACACATGAAGCAGATACTTTTAAATCTTCCAGCTCACAAGGTCCTGTGGGTATACCTAGCCATGAATCTCTTGGTGCTATACCAGCATCTTTCTGAGAAAGGAGCCATAGGAGAAGAGAAGAACCTGTGTAAGGAGCTTGCTGGATCCCACTGCTCCTGGCTCCCTGGCAGGTGAGGAAAACAGGCAGTGTCCCTGCATGCAGCCATTTAGGATTGTTTATCTTGTGCTCCTGATGTTTTTTGTAGTCAGTGATGATGCATAAGATGCAACTGGTTTTGACTTCCAGGTAGACAAAGTCCATGAAGTAACCAGTAGTCCCAAACATTTGTTGCTGGCAGAATGCTAAATAAACAGTAGCAACACCTACCTATGTGGGTGGCAATTAATCAYATCAATCAACCAGATCAGCTAGCAAAGCCCTTTTTTTTTTTCTTTTCTTTCCTTTTGTTCCTTTTCTCCTCCCACCCGCTCATTTCCTGGTTGTTGCTCCTGCTGGCGGTAGACCTGGGTTACGTAAACCCTGTGTCRCTTCTTGTCTGATGGCCTGACCATTTAATGCTCTCAGCCCAGTTCAGCAGAGGACTCCCAGCCTCCCTTTCAGCATSGATTTCTTCTCTTTCTGTATTTCTTAGAGACCTGAGCCAAAACTACTGCCTGTGGGCCTGTAGACTTGTGTGCTATATCCATTTGAACAACCCTCCTGGAAACTTTTGAACTCATTGTTTTAGCTAAATTTGATGGAGGAATAGAATTTTCAAAGAGAAGTTCCTACAGCTTTTCAGCTTTTCTAAAATCAATGTGCAGAGGAAAAAAGAAGTTAGTCACAAGGAAAAGTACCATCACAAATGGTTTTTTTTTTATGTGACACTTGTAAGAAGAAAGACTTTCTGAGCTATGGGATCATGGAAAAACCATCCTTCAAAGCCTGGATAAGCATCAGTGGTAACTATTTGAGACACAAGTCTGTAATTTTGTTTTCCAGGCTTCTTTTACTTGTTTGTTTGGTTTTATTTTGTTTGTTTGGGTTTTTTTTTAATAGAAAGGCAATGGCAATTTTTTATCAAAACTAAAAAGCAATAATTTTCTTAAACTTGGAGGATTATTTTCCTAGTCTTCCAGATTTTCTCTTTTTCATACTAGGTTTAGACAGGCTTACCAATGTGAAGTGTTAAGAGATTGCAGGAACTGGTGCTTGCAGAAAAATGCAGAATTCAAGCCAGTAAGTGAAGTGACTGTGGCAGCTGATGGAGAAGAAAATACGATCCACTGAAGGAACTGGATATGTCTTAAAACACCAAACTCTGTTTTTCCCAGGAGTGGAAAATATTGAATAACAAGAATCTTTATTTCTTGGTGGATTGTTATTATAAAATAACTGATTTTTTTTTTTGTGGAGGAAATAATCAACTATAAAAAAAACTCAAGACCAGGACAATGCCCAGTCTTCCTTTCCACACATGCTATTTCAGGTTCCTTCATTTTTTACCTCATAAAGGGATCCCTGGGCTGTTTTTTATCACACTGTCTATGCTGTCATTTTTCCTGGAGCTGAATTCAGCCATTACTAGAATCAAGAATCTGGCTGTGTATGATCCAGTGGGATCAAGCTTCCTGTTCAGTAACCTTTCCTCTAGCCCTGAATCTACTTTCATGTTGTACACCTAATGGAAGAGCAACCTAGAACTGGCATTTGGAGATGAGAAAATAAATAATGTAAAAACATCTTTCTGAAGTTGTGCTCTCTTACACAAAGGAATGGCTGTGCCATGCCAGACTATGTTTTCTTCTAGCCTTAAATKCTGTCTCCAAAGGTTTCCAATGTGGGTGTCCAAGGAAGTAGTGTATGGAAAGGGCAAATATGCGCTTCCAGCCTCCCATGATTYGTGGTGGTGAGATTTCCTGAACCACGATTAAGTTTTTGTATAATTATACAATGCTCTGAAAAATTCCAGTTGTAAAGGAATGTCTTATTTGTATACTAAAACATTAATTAATTATCCCTGCAATTTTTCTGCACTTGCCAGGCAATAGCTATTTTATCTCCACAGTGGTGGTAATCAATTACCACATAATAAGCTAAGAAATACCAGAACAAAAAAAGAAAAAAACAACAAAACATGCAGGAAACCTGCAGGTGGGAAATTTTTGCCACTGCCAGTAGCTGGGCAGATAACAGTTTATTTCCGTGCAGTCTACAAGATGTGAGCAGTATTAACTTCTTTTTTTGCATCAACTTGTGCAAGTTTTGCAGCCAGCCTGATTTGTGGGTACTCAGCATTATGTGGTCTTTGTGTGAAGCTGAAGGAGGTGAAGAGCTTTATTTGGTGGTTCAARCTCATAAGAACCTCATATTTAGGCTGGAAGGCTTGAGGTGCATGTTCCCACCCMGTGTGCAACCAAGAGAGGGTTTCAGGCTACCCTAATCTTCATGCAGTTGGTAATAGACAGGTTGGGGATGCAGAAATTGTTTCTCAATAGCTCACAGGTTATTTTTGAAACTCAATCCTTTTAATTTATTTAATGGCCTAGGCAGCAGATGCCACAGTGGAATATTGTTGACTTGCGACACAGTATGCACTAGCTTTTAGTATATTAAATAGCTCATTTTGATTCTGTCCTAAAACGGAATCCTTTTGCATCTTGCATGTTCATTACATAAGAAACGACCATAAAYCATGACCTTAGTCCCCGACCCTAGTGAAAAGCATATCGAATGAATATCTCTCTTCATTGCGGTCCTTGGTAATAACAGGTTTAATTTGGTAAATTTAGAGTTGAAGTTTATTCCTGTAGAAGTTATAACAAAGGCTGCATGTTTCTTAAAACCTTAAAATGTCACTACAAAAATATAATTTCCTAGATTAGAATAGCTGATCCAAAGCATAGGAACCTCTTTCTCTACTGTATAGATTGTATTGTAGATCCAGTTAATGCTCCAGGGAGAAATGACATGGTCACATGAAGAGTGGTGAAGTAATAGAGACTAAAGTATGAGATTCCATGTTTTTATTTCTACAGTACTTTGTTAATATGCCAGTGGTTTTTTTTCCAGTGATTTTTAAAATTTCAGTAATTTATTGCTCCAGATCAAATCTCTAGCTCCACTTGAATGGCAGTGGCTTAAGCATTCAGCATATTTTAGACTCAATTCACTTATCAGAGTTCAAGTTTAAAAAAAAACCTAACCAACCAACCAATCACAAAAAACTCCCCACAAAAATGAAAACAAAACTCCTAGAAGCCATGTCTTAAGAATTCAGTCACACAAGAGTGAAGCAGCTGGTTTGAAGGAGTATTGCATTCCATGTTAGGGAAAGCACTAAGGCACTGTCCAGGAATTTGTTGTCAGCAAAATTTATAAAAACACCTACATGGAATGCTTTCGCAGATTTTGTTCAAAAACTCTGCAGTCCTTTGAAATGGAAGGCTACCAGAAGTTGACAGTGGTGATGTTAGCCTGCCTGCTGCTGGGTCCTTGACTTGTCATTTCTTGCAAATATTTTGGGCTGTCACCTCCCTTAGCTTTTTGCATCTATGTACTTTTTAAGGTCATTTCTCTACTAAAGAATTTAGAGTCTCAAGTCTGGAACACAGCACGTTGGGCTGCTGTATTGCTGAACTAGCTTTTTTTATACCCTTTTTTTCCTCACCAGATTAGATGACATTGCTTCCACTAAAAGGTTGATTCACTTCAGTGATTGACAGGAAGGTGAACAAGAGATTTGAAAGCTTCAGAACAGAAATCCCTTTACTAAATCAGGCATGTTCTGCTTTTTACAAAATTAGCTCCTCCAGCTCCATCAGGGATTAACATTTTTTGCAACTTGGAAGATGGTGTACAAAAAAAGAAATCCTTTGTGGTGCTGTTAAACAGCTAGCAGTGCCAAAGTAGATTATGCCATTATTTGCTTAGAAGAAAAACAACACTTGCAATCTGACCTTAATGAAGTATTTTTACTATGTTCAGCAATTGAAACATAAGATCAGAACCTAACTACCAAAGTGGTAAAATGGCTAGCATTTACATCTTCTAGCAGTTAACTACTGCTCGTGAGTCTTTAACAATTTGTTCTCACTTAAATTCCAATAATTCAGTGAACTTTCATGTCAGAGTTTTGTCCACTGATCTAGACACAGTATCTGTATAGGAATAAAAATATGTTTTGCTTATGTCCACAACTGAARGCTAAGGGGGTGTAGCTTGGTCTGAATAACCAGCGACAAATGTGCTGCTTTTTCATTTTCTCCTCTTTCTCACCCTGTCCTCCATCACATTCAGAAGAAGTAACACTCCTTATGAGAGCTCCACTTCTCACCAAGATGTAGGGCTGAAGTTTAATGCATATCTAGAGTCCCTTTAGGAGAAATAATTTTTAAGTGATGAAACTCTACTGACCACACAGCCGAGGAGCAAGGATATTTTCAGATATTTTYAGATATTTTCTTTCTTTGCAGACTCATAGAGAATCCTGAATTCAGAGACCAAAGGGAGAGCACTGTTGCTGGGAAAAGAGAGGAGGTTCAAAACTCAAGGGGCTTCATGATGCTGTGATTCTGTAAGAACACGAAGGTAAGCATCATGGTGTTACCCTTAAGTTTTTGTGTTCCCTGCTTGATCCTTTTGTTTTGTAGAACCAAGAAGGAGGATTATGCCCTCAAGCAGTGTCATTCCCAGTAAAGCATATCTCCTTAAGCACCTTGTCTCTTGCCCACCCTTTATTTCTTTTCTGCTCAAAATACCCACACTTCTTTTACTGGTACTCATTTATTTTTAGAGGGTGATATTTCATTGTGCCTTATATTTAATAATTTTGTCTCTGAGCAATATATATAGGAATACACCTGTTTCTCTTGTTTTGCTCTCCTTTTTTGCATAAACAAATCWGGGAATCATTTTCTTTGAAAAGGTTCTTTTCAAAGTGTGTCCTTCTCMAGATATTTCAGGCCCTAATTTTGAAAATACCCTGGTGGATTTACCTTGAGAATTTTTATTGCTCTCTCCCTCATTTGAGTCATGTGGACAAGTTTTCTGCGTTTTTCCAAGTTCTCTTAATCTTCAAGAAAGAAGTGACAAGTAGGGAGTAACAAGGAGTTAGTTAGTAACGTCTGCAGATGAAGAGAAAATGAGGAACTTCTGGCACCTGATGTTTGAAAATGCATTTTGAGGGTTAATTAAACAGTGAATCTCTGATAGAGAGGTACTCTGGTTAGGGTGCAAACTTCAGGCCTCCGTTTTATTATCTGCAACTATTTTGATCAAATTGCTGAGAAAATACGGGGAAGACTCCTAATGACACWAACCCAAGGAAATATATCACTGAAATGAGAACATCAAGATTTCCGCTTAGTGTGAAATGCCACCCAAAGATGCTTTTCCAAAGACTTTCTGGTTCTCTCTTGGAAACCTTACAAGCTTTTGTTTCCCCTTGGGACTTCTAGAATTTCCCTGTTTAGACTGGAGGGTCTCTGAAGCGGAGGCTGTTTTGATAAACTATGTGTACAGCACCTTACACAATGGAGCTCTGATCACAGCCTGCATCTCCACATTATGGCAATGCAAATAAATATATGAACAACTGTCCCTTGAAMAGGAAGGAAAATGAAAATTGGATTCCCCAGAGTATTGACGTATATATGGTAGCCAGTCTCCTATCAAAATATTGTTGTACTTGTTGAAATCCAAGATTTAGTAGATGTTCAGCCTTCTTAGCGTGGCAGAAGGAATCTCCCATTTTGTCCTATATCCTTGTGCAGAAGTTTTTGCTTGTTTGTTTTTTATCCTGTTTTGCCCAAGACTAGGGGAGACTTTGTTTTACTAACATTTGTAGTCGTCACTTTGATCTGCAACAGGAAAGCTGAAGATCGGCTTCTTTGCCCATGGGGAAACAGATGAGATCAGAATAAGCCAGTTTTGAAAACCTCAATAGGTTGGCTCCAGAAGAAATAGTTCTTGTTCCTTAGTTAATTGCAAATTGCATCTTTACTTTTTAACAAAAACGCTGTTTTCTACACATGATTATTCATTTGTGAAGGCTGGAGGCTGATTTCTATTTGTTCCTGACACAGATGAGGTTATTTGCTCCTTGTAAATAACAGAAATATTGTAATTTCTGAAGTCTCATTTACTGCAGGTTTTTGGACTTGCTTGTTTTCTAATGTTCCTCTGTCAAAACATTTGTTAGCAAAATTGTCACTCTTGGCAAGTACTTCCAAATATGTGTCGTTATAGGCCAGGGTAGTGAAATATCAGATTGGGTGTGGGTAATAAAGAGTTCCCCTTGTTTCAGCAAGCGCTGGGCAACTGCACCAGTGACCATGACTAAGCTGATTTTAGACCAGCTTCCCTCTTTACTGACAAGGAAGAAAGCGGGATTTATTCAAGGACATTCTGGAGAATCRATGAGAGGAGCACCAGAAAAGCAGATGAAGGTCATGCCAACTCTGTTGGTTTCTCCTGCCATAGTGCTTGTGGTGACCGGACAGAGAAGTGCTGGCAACTGTGCTTTGCCCTCAGTGGTCAGCCTTTGGAGCAAGGCGTGCTCCAATCCTGCTCCGGGATTCTGCAGTCACAAAAAGGGCCTCAAGTAATGGTGTCTCTGAGTCTTCTGGTGGGTAAAAAAAGTYTGGAAATAAGTCTGAATGTGCTAAACCACCAGGCTCTTTGCTGGCAGCTGTAAGAGACTGGATATTGCAGCACACCTTAAGAAACAGGTGACTGTGTAGCCTGCTACAAAAACTGACTTGTGCAAAACAGAGTGTGGTGGCTCAGCCATATCCCCTGTACACCCACCTGTGCTCGGTTGGACCTGCARGGCATTTCCCTGTTTCTACTTGTTTGCCCTGGAAATGGAGGGAAGAGTTTGCCCATATTCCTCCCCTGCTACGCTGTGACTGTTCAAGACACACCACATTATAGGTGTGCGAAAGGCTGGAGAAGGATCTTCCTCAGTGCTAGCTTTCYTCTTCTAGACACTTCCTCCTTGCCTCTTCATGTGAAATGAGCAGTTTGCAGGAGTACAGAAAATCCTAGGGGCTATAAGGACTCATCAGGTGYTCAGAAGAGTTTTACAGAAATACTTATTTAAAGTTGAAAACAAATTTTCTTTGACCTTTTTCATGCCTTGTTTGTGCTTGTTTGCCACCAGTGTTCATGTTGGTGCAATTTGGGGCTGGGGGGTATAGGAGTGGTCATAGAATAATAATTAAATTGGAGTATTTGCAGCAAGGCTTTTCATTAGCACCAGAGAAGCGACTGTCTATAAGAAAGAACCTTAAGGCAACATGAAAGCAAAACAAAACAGTTATGTCCAGTCTGAACAACTCCGGTTGTGAATTTAGCTTTTAACAATCCTTACAAAGTGTTCAGTCATTATTAACAAAATTATGTAATAATTATAATAATAATTTTGCTTGAATAAATATGAGAACTCTGGAGTGGGTGACTGCCAACAGTACTATCTTCTCTTTCCTATTGTTTTTTCATCAAATGTTATCATGTTATGTGTTAGCTGGTTACCAGGACAATCTATGATTATAAASAGAAGAGTTTCTTTATCCCATCATAGGAAAATAAAGGAAGTTGTCCATAATTCTCTTTGCAGTTTATGGACTATATAATGTGAAGTGGTTGAAGCCCTCTAAGACCGTGCCTTTCAGTCTTCTTTCCCCCAAAGCATGTGCTAAACGTTTTGATTTTTGTCRTGCTGGGAAACTACAGAACATATCCACGTAAGTTGTTCAGAGCAAGAAATACGTCACTTTTCTTTGGAAGAACATTGTACTTGCTGGCAAACTTTGTCTTGAACAAACATTGTGAAATTTTGGTTTGGGCACCCATTCAAGAATACCCCAAAACTGTATCCACTGGGAAGGATTCCTGTATTTGTGCAGCARTTTCTAGATGAATACAGTCTCTCTCAGGAATGAGGGTATTTATTTATGAAGGTAGCATTAAAAAATCTGTCTCAAACTCTACCTATTCTGGTTTTAAAATCCAGAAAACAAGTAAGCCAACTGTTAAGGAGTATGCCTGGCAGGTACCAGCCAGTTAGACGGTAGCGTGACTTTCACATGAACTTCCTGTAGATAACTTAGCCTTACAGCAAATCCTATAATTCTCTTCTCTTATCCATCTCAAATATTGCAATTATTGCAAATATGACTTGGGCATTTCATGAGGCATTAATCATCTTTATCAGATATTTGGCTTCAGAAATTATTTTGTAATGCTGTTTACTTTGTTACTCAGAGATGAGTTATTACAGAACAGTAGTGTTGGCCATGGGAAAAGGCTGAAAGGAGGTGAAAGGCTTTATCCTTTGCATTAAGAAKCAATTGAAGAATGATTATGTGGCTAGGTGTGCACTTTCAAAGGCAGCTATGCCTGTTCCTTGCCATCAGACAGTGAATAACGGTTCCATGGTTTGTTGCTATGTTTGGTTTTCCCTCCAATTCCTCTTTCCACCAAAGTCAGCATGCCTACAAGGTATAACTTCATTGGGAAAAGCAGTGCCCATCAGCCATCAGGTGATCTAAAAAAAAGGACTACAACTTCTAACTTGGACTTTTGAGTCCTGCGGTGTGTGCATGTGCTGTTTTTAAAATATGTTGAATCCAAATTCTGGGCTTGGCTGGAGGCATATGCGATACGAATCCCAATTGTTCAAATCCCAGCCAGGGTATCTGCTCTGCTCACAACTGCAAGATTGCTTAATTGAATTTAATGAGGTTGTCCATGTGCAACACAGTTGGCAGGTAGTTGCCAGAAACATCTGATGAGCACTCCTGATATTCTGCTCCATAGGGCTGGCTTTCTGTAACCAGCARTGGGTCAGGCTACTGTACAGCTCCTGTGTAGGAGGGTGTCACAAAACATCATTTCCCAATCTAGCTCTCTGCTCCTGAAACAAACTATTTAGGTGACTTGGATGAACTGTCCAGACTTCTCCCAGATATCGTGATATGAACTTGCAGGTCAGCATGATACATGGAGTTAATATSTCCTGCAACATGTGGGTGGAGTGTCTTCTGATTTTTGCTGTGWTTGAGTAGATGGGCACATTGCAGCCCAGTAGTGTTTGACATTACCTTTCACACAGCGTTTATGGCTGAGATGTCCAGCAGTGAATTGACTTCTAGGAGTGTGTGGTTTGTTCTCCATAGCCACATGGTCCTCCAGCAGCATATGGAAGCCATGAACTAGACACTGAAGCAGAATCAGCCTCTTCTTCAGCTGGCATTCCTTCTCTGCCCCTGCCCTGCTATGGCTGAGTCTCTGAAAAAATAATTCCCCAGTTATTGCCCCTCAGGTGAAACTGTTGCCTAAAATTTGGTTAAAAATGAAAGGAGCCATTGTTCCAGTCCTCTAGAGATTAGTTATTAACCTATGTGATAGGTACAGGCTAGAAATCACAAGTGTTTTAAGGTTGACATGTGGTTAAACTGTGAATATGAAGTGGGGTGATTTGGTTTTGCTATTTTCTCAAAAAAAAAATCAATTTTACCTGATCTTATTCCAAAGTTTAAGAGCAGACACAGGGAAATGAGAAGCATATGATCTGCAGTCCTGAA